CCAATCTCAATTTTGCTGATTCCGGAAAGAAAGCATGATTAATATGTATGTACTCCCTTTCTCAGCATTAGCAGATACACATCTTTTGCAAAGCTGTACTCTCTTTGGCTCTTTTATTAGCAAAACATGGGTAGCCAATTTAAACATGCGTTTTTAGAAGGCTTAGAATGAAGAAATTAAAACCAGTTACATAATGGTGAAAAATATAAAGGGAGGATTCTTGTAAGAATACCAAATTAAGATTGCACAATAAATTATAATTGGATATCGCTGCTAAAAATAATTGGCTTCCAACAAATATACCAGTAAAAATGTGACTGGCTAGAAAAACTTAAATAATAGAAAAATATGCTGGGAAAGTAATGCTCTTAGTTAAGTTTTTCTGAAAATTACAACATTTGCAATATCGGACTATGCGAGGCGTATACTGTGTTCCCGGACATGCATCGTAAGGAAAGAACACACCAATGGTACGGAAAGAATGTACCCATCTAAGCCAAGTATTTATTATCTTTTGTCGTAAATACATAAAAAGTTTGCTCACTTCCAGAACAATGCATCACATTGGGAAGAAATTCTGGGTGGCTTTTCTGACTGAATTATTTGCTTTGTACGGAAAGTGACAAGTACTGGATTGATACTTCAGAAGAGTGCCAGTGACTATATCCAGATCTATATTCAGCTTTTATTCTTTGCACTTCCAGTTCTGAATATGATCCTGGATAGAGAGGACTGGGTGGCAGCATATAAACCGAAGGAAAAACTGGAGATATTAATGGCTGCCTTTTGCCTGGTAGTGATTTTGGGGGGACGGGGGACAAAGAGAGATGTAGGGTCATACAAACGGTACTCGCTTTGAAGGACTGTTTGTAGGGGGAAGGTCTTAGAAACTTCAGCCCAAGTTCTCCACATCCTGTAATGGACATCTGGATGATAAGTTAAAGAGAATTTCTTTAACTGACCCAGAATGTATCTTTCTTGTGATGAATATTTATGACTAGGAATTGTATTGTGTTTAGTCCCTTTACTTTGGCCCCCAATGTATTCTTGCAACTGTATTAAGGTACTGTTTCTTACTTTAGTCTCTGTAGGCAATCACCAACTTTGCTGGTAAATGTACACTCCCAAGGAAGTGTTTGACTAAGGTCTATGCAGGAACCCCTGCTAAGAATATATGAAATTTTGATCGGCAGGCATTATAAATGCTTATTTGCCACAGGTTCACCATTACAGAAATTGCATTTAAGGAGATATTCATAAGGCTAGCTCTATTTTAGACCTCTGTGTGTGGTAATATGTTTTCCCAAACATATTAAATGTGCTTCTTTCACTAAGAAAGTAGTTGTTTTTAGCTGTTCTCTTGCTAGCATTCCACATACTGATGTGTCAATTTGGTTAACTGCTATGTTGGGCTTAATTGGTTGCATGTGATCTATTTTACTGATTTCTGTGGTCACATTTCTGTTTTATACTTTTCATATTTTTATTATTTAGTGCTATTATTTGGCAAAAAATGGAATATATATAAAAAATAATGTTATTTGTTTCAGAATGTAAGTTTTAAATAGTTTGGATTCAGGAGTTTCTAAGAAAATAATAACATTTAAAGCTAAAAAGGAAGCTATGGTCATTGTAGCAAATATGGTCTTGGATCTTTCCTGTTCTACGTCATCTATTCTGCCACACACTAAACTTAATACCCCAAACTTCATTCCTCTGAACTACACTTAAACTGGGTTTAATACAATAGTTAAGACTATAGTTAGTTTGTAATTTATGGAAGATCTCCACTAAATATTCAGTATCACCTCAAAAGAAAAATGGGATGCCAATAAGCTCTAGATCTGGTGAGCTAGCTTGAGTATGATGGAAGCAGTAAATCAAGGTTTGAGGAAAATTGTGCTTATGGATTCACTTTCTGCATTTCCATTATGGATATATGGCTGTAAAAGGGTATGTTATTGAGTTGTACAAATATGAGTTTTGCATCAGAGAGGAAATAAAAAACAGATGGTTCATTTATGATGCAGAGTCAAATTTAATGCGGCAGAAATGACATTCGCAGAGATGAAAGCTGTTACCACATTTCCAAGAAAATATCTTTGGCAGAACAGACAAAGGTCAAAAATGTGACATGTATTTAGACAGACATTTGCATCCGCAATGTAATTTTCCTTAAGACTCTTTCCTATATTCCTAAGTGACAAGATGAATTGAAAGTATGGCTTTTTCCAGAAGCAATCAAATTATTTTAATGCCATGGAAATAAACCTTGAACCTCCAGGGAAAATGTGAAGAAAGGTACAGTGAAGAGTGGTTCATGGATCTCTCTCTCTCTCTCTCTCTCTCTCTCTCTCTCTCTCTCTCTCTCTACACACACACACACACACACACACACACACACACACCACTCATGATGAACAATTCAGTTTAAGAGTTACTCTCAGCATTAATATTAGTGGAAAATACAAATCATTCTTCAGGAATAAAAACTGACATGCAATGGCCTGTAAAAGAAAAATAACATGGACTTAAGTTTAGACAAGGGGTAGGGGAGAATCAGGACTCATTCAAGTACTCTGAGGGGTAACCAGTTGTGAATGATATATCTGACACTGAAGTGCTACATGGTCTTGCATGTAGCCATTTGCATCTATCTATCTATCTATCTATCTATCTATCTATCTATCTATCTATCTATCTATCATCTATCTATCTATGACACCCATCTCACTGAGGCAACTGTGGTAGTGTGTAAAAGATAAACCAGAAAAATTGCCATTATACCCATGGATAAGAATAAGTGACTCAGATTTGTACCCCTAAATAAAATTTGGTTCAACATCCTTGTAAATGATTTGCACAGAAGCATAGCTATAGCTAGCTGTACAGCCAGGCACAATACTAGGGCATCTTGCATGCTTGGAGTCCAACGTATTTTCTTTCGTCAACGCAAAAGAATTTGGCTCCTTATTCTGAAGTATATTAACAATTTCTGTTGAAAAGCATCATGCCTGAGAGTGCACAGGTGAAGCTTTGGGAAAGATACAAATGTAGAGTATCTCATAGGCTGTGAGGACCGAATTCTATTATTATTAAAACAATTGCATCCTATAGGAACCAATACACAATGAGGATTATGTATTGCTTCATTTATAAAACCTTTCCAGCTCCATTTGACTTCCTTTAAAAACTGACTTTTTTAATTTTAAAAACAGAAACCCAGTATGTTGGAAAATAATGCATCACCAGCCTCATTTTTACCCTCCAAGTATGCCTTTGGGTCCCACCCCATAAGTTTTCTTAGAAAACAAAACCGGCATAGGGTCTGTTTTCCAATGCATACAAATTGTTGCCGCATAAGAAATTGATTTGGACCTTGTTGTTAGTTGCTCATGCAAAATACTGGAAAATCAAATTATAAGAGGCATTGTTCAATAGCATTTATAAGCACCAAAAACTTAGCAAAAGGCTATTAAAGGGGTGTACATTTCATCAGATTTGATCACAACATTTTAGTTATTTTAACAATATTTTTTCTAATGGATTGCTGTTGTGTACAACTCTATTTTTCACAGAAATATTGAATATAGATGTTTCAAATATTAGATATCTCATAAGCATTTTCTGTTTTGGGATTATTTTTCCAACTCTACCTCCTCATTTTCTTCTTACTACTATACTGCTGTTGTTGTTTAATAATTAAATTTAATACGCTGATTTAAATTATTAATATTTTATTATTATTTAGAATTGGGTATGTTTGCAAAAATGATAAAAGGGAAAAATGGCCAATGTTCCCCTCTCCCATTCGTGCCTCACTGGATTAAAAAAAAAATCTGGTTGGCTGCAAAAAGCACCAGAGCTTGCGCCTTTAAACTAAAAAGCAGAAGCATCTTAGTGGGAAAAATGACCCGGTCGGCTCAGTTGCCCAAGGAACAGAACATTAAGTAAATGCTTCAGAGTGTTATCTGGAAGTGCCAATTTCTATATAGAGTAGCCAAAGTCTAATATTTAAAAACGTAGGCAGCTATGCTTAAAATAAACAGAATATATTGTTGCAAGTAATAATGGGAGTTTCACGCATATCCAATCTTCCTACCATTTATATATCTATCTATATATATTGATAAATTTGAAAGTATCAGCTTTATATAACTTATATATTACTTTTATCCAAAAATAAAACACCATCACGTATCTCCAACCTATGCTGCTGTTTCAAGCATTACTTAACTGGTATAAGTTATACCTGGTATCACTTGCATAAGAAAATTATGAGCTAGTTGGGTGGTCAATAATCGTCCCAGAAGGTCATAATAGGAAATGATTTCCATCCTGCTGCCAAGAAAACTGTAAGGCTGCACCAGGAGTTGAGATGAATACATTTTTTAAGTTATAAAAAGCACCCTAAGTGATGCATCTTTCTTTCTTCTCATGTTTCCCTTATTTGTATATCAGAAATTCCTTAACCTTACGTTAAAAATTCAGTAACTTAAAGTAGTAAACTATGGTATAGTAATAGCAATAGCACTACACTACAATTAGTATAGTACAGGAAGAAGAACCCATTGCTACAAGAATTAAATCTGCAAATAGCACCTGTTGGCAACCACTTCAACAAAATGTGCTTTCCTAGGGAAAAAACCCAACTTTTATAAAAAGTTAATGCTAATAGCTGCCACTTGTGTGCCCATGCTCATTATTTTAATCTGGATCACTGCACAGTTCTGCTACTGTAGAAATGACTTGGCAAAGGGACTGGAGGGGGAAAAATCTTTATACACAACTGCAGAGACCTCTAGTGGCAAGCCAACATTTAGCAGTGGTTTAAAGAGAAAGATATCTTAGCATAACTTCCCTAGACTGTATGCCCCAATGCAAGGGTTAACCTTTTTTAAGGCAAGGAACTTGTATTAATTTTTCTCAGGAGAAAACAGCACTTGAGCTTTGAATGACGTATATGGGATCATCATTCCAAAAGTAAATGAAGTCAAGACAAAAGCTAAATTTGGTTTCATTAGAATTCAAGGCAGGGGATACAAATTAGAAGCATATAATATCACAACGATACAAAATGATATTTTAAAGAAGGACTAAGGCAAGCCAACAAAGCTTTCTCCAGAACAGACCAATTCTCTCATTCCAATAAGAATTCTTGGAACATCTGTGGCTTAAGATTGTTTATTGAAATCCTAGCTTCATTGGAACCATTTTGAAGTGGGTGTTATGCTGTCAAAAGGAGAACAACAAGAACCTTGCCTACATTCTTAGGCTCAATAGGCTCAAACTCCTTCCAGATTACCTGACATCTTTCCCCAAAATCCCCAATTGTGCTCCACCAAGCACCACTTTCACCTGGATTTACTTGGTCCCTCGCTCCAGGAACTCTGTTCAGATGATCCATCTTTTTACCTGGAGAAAGTTGTCACTCTTTCATTACCAAGTACATTCTTCTCAAAACTCCATTTCAACTCTTCTGTTTCCTCAGAAAGGCACAAGTTTTCTTTTCATTCTCTTCGGGCAGTTCGGAATCCATCAATGGTGCTTGGAGCACCCTCCACCATGCTTCCGATATCACTCCTTAATTGAATGGAGTTCTTTTCCCCAGAACAGATCTCAGAATGGCCATCTTCTTGCTCTCCCTTTTTCCTGGAAAGTCATAAGTAATCAGATGACAGCTATGTCAGCAATGAGACTAACTCAAGGGGCAAAACTAAACATAATGTGTAACCCCAATCCCACTGTCTATACTGTCCTACTGTGGCACGTTGCCCAAAGCATCTAATGCTCTCTCAACTTTTCCAGCTCACTCGTTCTCTCATCGTCAATGTTCTTTAATTAATCCAGCAAATCTGCTGATCCAAGGAAAAATACTGGCATTCCCATTCATCTTTTCCTCTACTTCACACCTTCTGTTCTTCCCCTGTTCTTTTCCACTTTCCCTCCCAACAGCTCATCCACTCTTCACTAAAAGAGCATCCAGTATTAAATTTAACATGCCCAAATTCCACCAGTGACAAAACTCCTTCATTTTCACTATTCCTTCCCAAACAACTATCATTTCCCAGTACCAGTTTACCAGCTTCCATATTGGTATTCCATACCAATATTCTGCCACATTAACAATTACAAGGTGCTGCATTAGCATAGAGTCTCGAGTCTAGTCTATCTTCCGCTAAGATTGTTAATTAGGTGGCTGACTTTGAGCCAGTCATTCTTTTTTTAACCTTTACCTACTTTACTTCAAAGATTTTTTGTGGGATAAAATTGGGAGGATGGAGCACTGTGTATTCTGTTTTGAGCTCCTGAACAAAAATAAGGATATAACAATAAGAAATCAATTAAATGGCAACTTTTGGAATCCTTGGAGACAAATGCAATCCAAAAACAGCTATTTGTTTATCCCTTTTTAATATGCCAAAAACTCTTAATTATTTTAAACATGTTGGAGCAATACTTAACAGAATTATTCTACTTAATGTTAAGACAAGATTTATTTATAAGCCGTAATCATTTTTAGGCTGTTCTTATTTCCCATGTGTTAAGGTTTGTAACTAAAACACATATTTCATTTAAAAGCCTTTACATTGGAAACAGAAACCTATGACACAAGGCAAGTTGGCTGCCAATATTCACAAACAGCATGGCCCCAAGGGAGTTCAGTTTCCCTGTGCTTGCTTTAAATTATTTTTCAAATCTAATCTTATCATCCACTGAGATTGCAAAACGTCACTCGTGAAAACAGTTGTAGGTTTGCAAAACAAGCCTTAAATGCTGGCAGCAACTAACCTTGATCTTAGTGTGAAAGATAAGCAGATTGGGATGTTAAAACAGCAACTGAGAAGACACTTTCATCTTGTGAAAGTAGCAGTATAATAAGACCTTACAAGCTGCTCCAGAATGTGGTCAAGGAAAAAATTAAGGATGTACATTAGTATTTCCATGCAATATTTCTGCTCACTTGTAACTAGTGGATTCACTAGTTGTAGTTCACTTGTAACTAGAGTCCACTAGTTACAAGTGATAATCCAGGTATAATTCTAATTGGTAGTTATGATTCAGAAAGTTCAACGTGATTATCTACAATACTGCGTTTCTCCAATTGTCTCTGCTCACCTTATAAGATTTGACAGGGTCCCTTCAATCATGGGTGTTAAACTGATCGCCCTCGGGCCGGACACATCACGTGCAGGCCCCAGCTCTGCGAAGGGGATAAACGTCGCAAAATGTCACGTGACAGCAACGTGACATGGCAAGTTTGACACCCACGATTTAAACAATGCTACCTTGTGAGGTCCCAGACACGTGCCTTCTCTGTTGCCATTCTTAGAATGCTATTTTCCCAGAACTCCATTTGAACTCATCCCTCTCAGCAGTAGAAAGGCCTCAACACTTAGCTTTTCATACAGGCCATAAACTGAAATGTTTACTCATATTGATGACTGAGCAAGGATGACTGAAATTTCTCTTTATGCACTTCCTCATAGCATTATTTACTTCTTACACTGTTTGCACTCTGATTGTTTTAGTAGTGTTTCAAAGCAAACACCCCCTTGAGTCTCTGATTGGCAGCTGTATAAATCTAACAAATGAATAAATAAATCATGTTGCCAAAAAAATTAAGAGTGTCACATCCACGGAGTTCAGGGTTTCCCAACCTTGGCAATTTTAAGTCCTGTGGATTTCAGCTCTCAGAATTCTCCAGCCAAGCATGCATGGATGCTGAAGTAAATTGCACAGCAGCTTTAGGAAAGAAAAGAAACATAAAAGATTTCTTAAGTTATCTTTACTGTAGATTCTTTACATGGGTGCGTGTGTATACACACACACACACCATGTATGTATGTATGTATGTATGTATGTATGTATGTATATATGTATGTATGAGAGCAGGCATCAGAATTTCATTTTTTAATGTGTGCCAGTGTGTTCACAGAAAAAAAGTGACAATAAAGGTTATCTTATCTTATCTCATCTCATCTTACTACGTTATGAATAATTAATTAATAGTTAAGTAAAACCAATTCAGCCACGCTATTCAAATAATTATAATAAAGCAATCTAAAGGGCTAGCTCCAAAGTTATCAACGGGGATAATCATCTCCCTTGTCCTCAGCCTCCGAGACCCGCCAGAGACAGAGAGACAGTACTTTGACACTAAGCACTGAGATACTACTAATCTAATTCTAAAGTTAGGATTGAGTGACAAACTGGAACGGAAATCCACACCAACGGCCAAATAAGGGAGCCTTCTCCTGTGGAAAGCGCATGCGCGATACTAGGCACGCCACCTCCGCGTGGGCCTGCCAGTAGGGGCGTGGCGTCGCTCACCTCAAGACACAGGAAGTGGAGTTCTTCCCGAGGGAGTCCACCTCCGGCCAAGCCTTTCTCGCTTCGCGGAAAGGTCGCTTCTCCCTCGTGGCCTTTTCCTGCGCTCTGCTGTTTTTGCCATGTCGGACGCTGAGCCGACGGCGGCCGGGAGGTCGCTTACCGAAGACGAAATGGCGGAGGTGAAAAAGGAAGTAAGAGAGGCGAAGCGGAGGGGGGGGGGAGTTGCTCTGACGGCGGCGAGCTCGCGACTGGGGCTGGCGGGCGCGCGCTTGGCGTAAGGGGGCTTGGAGTTCCTTGTTTGGGAGAAAGGGGGCGCCCCCTCCGTGATGATAGCGGGTCCTGCAGACATCGGAGGGGAGGGGGGCTGGAAGCGCCGTGGTTGCCATGGCGTTGGCGCGTCAAGTTTCCGCATGGCGGCGGATTGGCGGTTGGTCTGCCGAGTGTAGCCGGCGCGGGGAATTCCGCCAGGTGTGGCCTTTCCTGCCGCTGTGACGTCATTCCTGCCTTGCGTGGGGGCTCCCTTCTGCTGAGTGGAAAGCTTCAAGCATCGCTTGGTGGGATGCTGCTTTGTCTCCATCTGCTGGCAGGGGAAGGACGGAATCTGTTACAATTTGGGGAGGGAATCTTATTATTATTTTTTGACATTAATAGGGGTGGTCCTCGACCTACAAAGTTTCGCTTAGTGGCCGTCGTTTGAAGTTACAACGGCACTGAAAAAAATGACTTATGACCGTTTTTCACACTTATGATCATCACAGCATTCCCCATGGTCATGTGATTTACATTTGGATGCTTGGCAAGTGGTTCGTATTTATGACGGTCACAGCATCCCGGGGTCACGTGATCCCCTTTTGTGACTTTCTGACATGCAAAGTCAATGAGGAAACCAGATTCACTTAACAACCGTGTTACTAATTTGACAACTGCAGTGATTCACTTAACAAATGTGGCAAGAAAAGTCATAAAACGGGGCAAAACTCACTCAACAAATTTCTGATTTAGCAACATAAATTTCGAGCCCCCAGTTTGAATTCCCAGAAACTTTAATTAAATGCATCAGTTAACAACCAAAGAAATCATTCAAAAGTTATTGGATGGACTCTGTTTCCATCCCTCTGTACTCTTAGAACAGGGGCTCCTAAATCTTTTGCCATCACAGCTCCTTTTAGGGTAATCTTAATGTATGCGCCTCTCATAAAAATCCAAATCCACCAAAATGGACAAAGAAAACAATGCAATAAAACTTTGTTTTTAATTACAAAATTTAAAACAAAAGATTTTGCCTCCTCTGTCACTATGTTACTCACTTGAAACTAGTATTTTTGGAAAGGGGGATTTATGGTAATAATGTAGAATAAAGAGGTTCTCCACACCTCTCACCCCTCCCTAAGGTATGAACACCTTACAGTTTAAGTAAGCCTATCCTAGAAGTTCCAGATGGTGTTTATAGCACTTCCTCCTCAGATTTTCATGTAACAATTGAGTCCTTCTCAGATAATACATAAAAGATGACAAGTGGCTCAAAACTCATCCAGGGAACTTCAGTGGCAAAGGATGGATTTGATTCTTGGTCTCCACAATCTTTATTTCGCATCTTAACTGCTATACCATACTAGATTTCCTTTTAATGTTCCATTCATTCTCCATGTTCTTCCAAGTGCCTTTGTTTTCGTTAATGGATAAAAGTCTCCTCCAAATTCTGCTTTTCTGTTACAGCAGGTTGTCCTGTAGTGTTTATAGGAATTCCCCTTCCTAATCTCTGAATGTTGCACATGAATGAATCAGTGGAAGTTGGTTTTGCCTTTGTCCTATTTTTCTAGCAAAAAGTATAGCTCTACAATATATAGAATATTCACTTTTTGTTCACAATTATAAGTCAATTTCTCTTGTGATCTTTTAGATTGTATTTATTGTTTTATATTGGAACTGTATTCAGAGAATAATATATTACATCTTAAATAAACAGATAAGTACATTAAATAATACATTGAACTCCAATTTATTTGATTAATAAAAAAGAATCAGTAAAAGTTCTAACCAAGCTATACCAGCAAATTTTGAGAATGAAGGCGGTTTAATTGAATAAAACAAGTTTTGACTGAGTGTGCAACCTATCACACAATATTCTTAATTTCACATGCTAGCAAAATAATGCTTAGGCTCATCCAATGCAGAGTTCTATGTGGGAAGGAGATGCCAGATGTTCAAGTGAGCTTTTAAAAAGGCCAAGAAAGATGAGACATTGTCACTGATGCACACTGGAAAACTGAGAAAGCCAATAAATACAAGTCAGTATGTACTTCATTGTTTATTCAAAGGCCTTTATCATATCAATTGCATCAATCTGTGGAATGTGCCTATAAAAAAATAGGAATCCCAGAACATCTCCTCATGTAAAACCTATATACGGGTCAGGAAGCCTTTGTATGGACACAGTATGGTGAAACAGACTGGCTTTAGTTTGGCAAAGGAATTGGAAAAGTTGGAATACATTCAGAAATGCATCATGTTAAACTATATACCAAACGTTTGTATCATAAATTGTTTTAATTTTTATGTCATAAATGTTATATGTCATATGTTTTGTAAAATTTGCCAAATTTCAGTTCCATGGCAATTGTCCCATGTTTTGCATTCTGTAAGTCCATTTGAGGAACCTTAGTTCAAAAATTGTTGCCCTAGGATGCACCATTTCACCCAGTTAAATGTTACTGAAATGAGAGTATAGCTAGGATAGTATAATATAAAGTATGTTAGTAGTCTTTACCAAAGATTGTGAACTTCCATTTCTTTTTAGTGTTAGTACTTTGTGATATTTGATTGTTAGTTCAGAAATCCTTATATTAGTACCAGGAAAAAAATTATCTCATGAACAGAATTAAAATTTGAATCCAAGACATGAATAACTCGTTCTTGATAAGATACAGTACTGCAAATTCTAACTAAAATTTATTTGTCAGGGATTATTTTTGATTCATTGCACCTTCATAGTAATATAAAGAATAATTTATGCATTGATAAAGTTAATCTTTTATTAACATGCTCTTATTTTTATGCTAGGTTTTAGAACGATTACGCCGCTATTTGTGTGACAAAATAATTGCAGAAAGACACTTTGACTACCTACGTTCAAAGAAAATACTGAGTAGAGAGGATACTGAAGAAATCTCTTGTCGAACCTCAAGTAGGAAAAAGGCCGGGAAACTGCTGGATTATTTAGCAGAACATCCAAAAGGACTAGACACATTGATAGAATCTATCAAATGTGAAAAAACACAAAACTTCCTGTTAGAAAAAATAACTGATGCCGTCTTGAAAGCAAAAAATGAAAAACTTGAAAGTCTTAAAGGTATTGTTTAATAACTGAATATTGTATATTTTAAAAGGGCTTATAAAATATGTAGCTACATAGCCTATTCCTATTCCTACTTATTTTTAAGTCACAAAGTCATTTAAGTCATTCGGTAAGTCACAAACAAGGTAAGTCAAAATAATTTGCCTTTGAATCAATGAAGGAGCAGAAATTTAGGAATAATGATATTCAAATAGAATGATTTTAAAATCGTGCTTTGATTGACAACCTATTTTCAGTCCCTTGAGGTCTTTATTGTGTACTGAAATGGTGTGATATATTATTATCATGTCCTTATAGAATATTTCTGATTCACAAGCATTGAGAATGTTGAAGTAGACTAGACAATGATAGAGCACTTGTCACAAGTGGTTATGTTTATTGTATGACAGTAGCTAAATCAGAAGCCTTCTTTTGTTGCCTCTGTTGCATTTATTAGTAGTATATCGTGGCTTTAATTTGAATGGTTCAAAGGTTACTAACATTCAGGGATGATACATATGTATATATATAACAGAGTTATAAAAAGTCTATTGAGCTCTTCAAAAATAAAAATATTTGCATGTCTAAAAGGACAGATTTCAGAAATAAGATTTTAGGTCCTTGGGGTTGTAAAATTAACCTTCTGACATTTCAGTCCGTCTCCTTAATGGCTAATTGTAATTAGATGCAGACTCTAGATTGCATAGGTCTAGATTTTGATAAGTGCATCACTGATCAATGGATTTAGAAAATTGAGTAAGATATTCTCAGTTGTTCATATCTCTTTTGGACACAAGATATTAAAATGGTGATAGCAGTTGAGCTTCAGTTACTCTTAGAGGAAACTGGTTATCTACATCTATTTCAATGTGAGTTCTGGTCTGATTTTTTACTTTGGTTTCCCAAATAGACAACATAGCATTAAGAGTGCAATCCTATTAGCTTAGTTCAGGGGTGTCAAACTCTATTTTATTGAGGCCGCATCAGGGTTGTGTTTGACCTTTGGGTGAGTCTGGCCAGCTTGACGTCACTCGTGTTGGGGGCGCCTGTGGCGGCCAGAGCTCTCTGCCAGCGAAAATGGGCTCCCAAGCTCTGTTTCGACTGCGATGGCCTCCTGCAACCCTTTGCCAGTGAAAACAGAGTGTGGGAGTGCCGCCCACATCCATCGCAAGCTCCATTTTAAGCTGTGATGGCCTCCTGCAACTCTCTGCCAGCAAAAACTGAGCTCAAGAGGGTCACACGCAGCCCTCCCAAGTTCCGTTTTCGCTGGCAGAGGCACTGCGGGCCGATCCTTCCCTGTTTCCAAGGCAGACCTATGGGCCAGATCTAAACACTCCACAGGCCGGATCCAGGCCTTGAGTTTGACACCCCTGGCTTAGTTGGTGTTTTGGAATTTTCTGGCAGTTTTGCCTAGAAATATCACAAGATACTTTGACACATTTTCTCTCCAGTGTTAAGTCAGTTGGGGCAGTCCCCAGGACATTTGGAGCACAGTGTGTCCACTTTGTTGATGGCATGAAATCAGCTTTTTTTTCTTTCAAAAGAAGCTGTAGAGACATTGAGATGTCTGTAATTGGATGACAGTGATAGATCTAAATTTTATTAAAATGAAAATTTTATGGATGCTTAATTCCAAGTTCCTGAAAATATACTGGTAGTTTTCCTGACATTGGTGGGATTGGTCTCTGTTCAGCAGAGGAAAAGTTTATAAATTAATTGTTTCTAAGATGCCAAGGACATAAAGCTCATTACTACATAACCTTTGATTGGTATGGCAGCTACCGCTGTTCTTGGACATAAACGGCTTTTTTCTACCCCTTGCACTGGTAAATTCCTATATTAATTACTGCAGTGTGCTATATATGGTGCTCCTCTTAAGCATCATCCAAAATTGTTGCTATGTATAACCCTATAGTTAAAAGATTTGGATTGGTCGCCAATTTTCCACATGGACAAGATTTTATATTAATAACTTCGAGGTAGCAAAGTTGCATTTTTTATGAATACTTAGCAACCTGATCCACAGGACTATATGGGCAGTCTGGATAATAACTGGGGTTTCCAGACATTTTCTTTCCAAATCATTTCATTTTTTTTATTTATTTTGTCGCATTTCTAATAATAGAGGTTATTTCTTAAGATGAATTTTATTTATTAAATTTATATGTCACGCACCTCATTGTCAAGTGAGTCTGGGTGATTAGTTTTGAGATAAAAATTCTATATACCTGTAAATCTGAAACTTAAAAAAAAAGCAATGAAGTTAAATAGATAAAAAATGTGTCAATATGATGCAAGTTATAGCAATGGTTAAAATATCTTTTACAAGTATCATAACTAAGCAATCCAATATATTTTTTACAGGATCACGTTGTAACAACTGCATGGCTTCAGTATGTGAGCAAGCAAACAATCTCTCTAGATCGCAGTCAAATGACTCTAATTTTTTTGAAAAACAAAGAGACAGAGAAAACACGTACCTTCATCCAGAAGAATATAGTACAGCTGCTTTTGTATCCGCCTCTTCTCTTTGTTCAATGAATTTACCTATTACAGAGGTTGGAAACATGGAAAATTCAGTTTTCTCTACTCTTCCGGGACCTGGAGATCCTGGAGCGCCTCCTGTTCCAACAGAATTGCAGAGTGAGCAAGAGGAAATATCCACCACTTCCAGTGACAATCCCTTTCTACCTTTACGATCCCGCTCAATTCTTCCGTAGTAGTTGCTTTTCTTGAATAACTTTGGAAAGATAATATGCTGAATATTGCCTTATATAATTTTGCAAAAAATGTTTCATCTTTAAAATTTCTTATTGTACTTGGTTGCATTACTTTTGAAAACTGAAAGTAGGTGTTTTCCAAAAAATATTCATGTTTAACTAATCATGAAGCTGCTTGTATTATGCAAATTATAATAATATTATTATAATAATTTTATTATTATTATAATTTTATTATATTATAATAATAATACAATCCTGTACATAGAAATTCAGAAGTAAGCCCCACTGATTTCAAAGGGATTTATAGGTAAGTAAATAGTGGAATGCTATATTGAAAAACATTGGGAATACTTAAAAGATTTAATATATTTCTACACTTTAGTAAAAAGTTTACTATGTTCATTCAGTTCATAATGTCAGACAACTTATTTTCTTCTTACATAGTGGCAGACAAAATAGTTGCAGAAATTATGTCACATAGATTCCTGATTCCTGATTAGATTTATCTAATTATGCAAATCAATCACAAGGACAATTATTTAGCATAAGAGAAACTCCAGATTGATGTTTGGACTTATTTCTCTTACAGTTATTACATTGGAATAAAGTTTTCAATTGAACACTTAATCTTCAGAAAATATTGTATTCTGTTTGAACAGAAGGATCAGGAAGTAATGAGTACCTCAGCAAAGAGGGAAAAATATCTTCTGAATTACAGCATTATGACTATATCTATGAAGATTGATTGGTCTCATATTATATAGGTGCTCCTAGTTTAACAACTGCTTGTTCACTGACCTGGTAGAGTGGTACTTAACCAATCCATCAAATTCTGGTTGTTGTGGCACCCCTGCAGTCACCTTCCAGCATTACTTGATGGAAAGTCCTAATTTCCGCTTTTAAGCAAGGACTACCTTTTATTCTGAATGATTCAATTCTCCAAGTACACTTTTGGAAAACTATAGCCATTAAGAAATCCCTTTTGAATTAGGGAGTTTATAAGATGTTAGGCATTAAATGTATACAGTTCTTTAAGAACTGGAGCTTAAAATATCTGTAGCATGCTTACTTGACAGTCAATTTGAGCACGGTGGAGCTTACTTCTAATGGATATATGTTAAGTTTGCACTTTTACAATTTTGAGAATATTTCTAAAATGAAACTTCTCAATTTCTATGCTTATTTCTCAAGGTGAAACAATGTTGTGTTGGACAAATCATTTCTACTATGCCATCTCAGGGAGTATAAAATCATCTCTATTTTTTTCTCATGGCTTGATTGAGGTGCAACACTGTAAAGAAGAGATTCACTTAAAAGCATATTTATTTTCTAGGTAGCATAAAAGCATTTCTTTCTCTTCATCTTTATCTTTTGCCATTTTTGTTTCTTGGCCCATAGCAGTAATCTAAAATAACAGTATTTTAGATTAAATTCAAATTTTACTAGCCAAAAGCAAAACAACTTCTGTGGGGCTTCTGGAACAGCAAAAGTTTTATTTAAAAAATGTTCTTCTACAACATTTTGGATGAAACTGCAGCCAGTTATCTAAATTAATTAAATAAGTAGCTTTGTGTTTACACATGTTATTTAGAAAGCTATCTCACTGAGTTCTGTAGAACTTGTTCCCAGTTAGATATGCATAAGATTACAGCCCAGTATTTTAAGAAGACTATATCATGGGTGATCAGCCTTTTGGTTTACCTGGGCCCCATTGAGTGAAGAGGAATTGTCTTAGAGCAAATATAAAATATATACTTAATGTATATAAATCACATAATGTTGAAAGTTTATAACCTTTTGAGGTCACGTTAGTAGCTGTCCAGAGCCGAAACCTGTTCTATATGAATTCAAATTGGTGCTAGGTTGTATTATACAGTGCACTGCCCATGTTTCAGGACACAGAACTGTGTCAAGCCACAATCAAAGGGTTAGGGTTTCTCTTAACCCTAGGTCTTGGGTCTCCTGTAATCTGACAGTTTCTGTTGACAGCTTTTTAACTCAAATGCTACCTCAGCTCAAACTTCCATGATGTTTTTGCAGAGCATGAACTTCCCTGTTTGATTACTAACTGCAGATGTTGGCAAATTTATAAGAAAATACTGTATTTGCATACTTACGGACTGATTGTCCCTATTACTTTGTCATATTTTCTTTAAAAAAAATTCTAGTGCCTTAGTATTGAAATTAGATTAGGGTTTTTTTCTCTCTCTATTGTGCTTTATTTCATGTATGCCAAAACCTGTGTGAAGAATAATAGGTACATATTGAGAAATAACATACTGCTCTATTGAATGAATGTCTTTGAAAATCATTATATTTTTAAATCATACTTTTAAAAAGTATATACTTTATATAAAGCAATGTTGAATTGAAAAAAATATTTGGAAGTTTGTGGTTGCTGTTTAATGCTTTACAAATATTTACAAGTGGGCAATCTGTGAAGCATTTGTATAATAAACTTAAACGATTTTTAAAAAATAGTTTTCTCAGTATATGTCATGTCCTAATCTTGGCTTCTCTTCAATAGTTTTATGTACTTATACTATTAGGAAGCAATTTTTTTTACTAAGTATTTTATAAATATATTTAAAATATATATTAAAAAATACATTAAGAGCTGCGGTGGCGCAGTGGTTAGAGTGCAGTACCGCAGGCTACTTCTGCTGATCACTGGCTGCCAGCAGTTTGGCTGATTGAATCTCACCAGGCTCAAGGTTGACTCAGCCTTCCACCCTTCTGAGGTCGGTAAAAAGAGGACTCAGATTGTTGGGGGCAATATGCTGACTCTGTAAACTGATTACAGAGGGCTGTAAAAAAGCACTGTGAAGCAGTATATACGCCCAAGTGCTATTTCTATATTCAGAACAGGTCCTTTGTTGCAGGTCACCTCGTAATTTATGGGTGTTTTGGATGAAAAATTGTCTTCCAAGGACCAAGGGCAAGATGGTTTTGCACGCAACCTAGATCCCACAGATGAAGCTTCGCTCACTCGCCTCTTTCACTGCCTGGTTCACAATAGGCCATGGACTGGTACCGGTCTGAAACCTGGGGATTGGAGATGCCTGATTTATAGTACACTCCCTTATTCTAAACTATCCTAAAAATACTTTAAGAAAGTATTTATATTAAGTAGGCATGTTCTATTCTTGAATCTGCTGAGGGAATAGGTCAATAGATCATTGCATATGCTGAGATGCAACCATCAAAACCATAGCTTATGTCCTATTGCAGTGCCCATATATCAGGGCTGGCAGTCCACATTCCTGCACTTATTCCTTGCTAGGTGCAGGGAACCAAGATTAACGTTAGTTTTTACTAGCAGATACTTTCCACAGAAAAGTATATATGCCACAAGGTTCTGCTCAATGGACTTAAACTCATTCCAATCTGCACTGACCAGCTGTGGTAGCACAGTGGTTAGAATGTGGTATTGCAAGCTAATTGCACTGACTACCAGCAGTTCGATTCCCATGGGCTCAAGGTTGACTCAGCCTTCCATCCAAGGTCGGTAAAATGATGACACAGATTGTTAGGGACAATATGCTGACCTGTAAACCACTTAAAGAGGGCTGTAAAGCACTGGAAAGTGGTATATAAGTCTTAAATGCTATTGCTATCATTTAGGGGACTATGGTGGTAATTTGGTAGTATTCAAAGTTTTTTTAAATAACAGTTTTATTAATTTTCTACTATTACATTTAATTAGTGCTTAATAAACATGTCTGGGTTGTTTTGTTTGCTTAACAATACAAATTATATTCCTAATCTTTGCCCCTTTTTTCCCGCCACTGATAAAATAAATTCCATGTTTAGTAGTATTCTTTATCTTCTTTCTGTTTAATCTTCAATGTAAGTCTGTCCATTTCTGCACAGTCCAATATTTTCTTAATTATCTCTTCATCTAGTGGTATTTCTTCATTTTTCCAATGCTGCACAAATACAATCCTCGCTGCTGTTAATACATGCAATATTAAATATACACTTTATTAATCAAATTTTTCTGGTACTATACCTACCGGTAATAAAAAAAAGTTCAGGTTTAAGATCTACATGTTTTCCTGATATCTTTTCTAGCCACATTTGTATTTTTGCCCAAAATATTTTTGCTTTAGCACAAGTCCACTACAGATATGTGCCAGATTTTTGGTTACATTTCCAACATTTACTAGACATATTTTTGAACATTTTGGCTAACCTAGCAGGTAATAAATGCCATCTATAAAACATTTTATATAAGTTTTCTTTACAAGAAGTTGCCATAGTATTCAAAGTCTTGCTGCTTATCACTTTTTTTTAACTGTTGAGGTTTATGTATATATGCTTTACTCAAGTCTATGTGTTTTGACTTACTCCACTTGTTCTGTATGAAACAAAAGATCAGGCTCACTTTGGACACATTCGACAAAGACCTAGTGCTCTAGAGAACTTTATCATGCTAGGAAAAATGGAAGTAAAGAGAAGAAGACAATCAGCTGCAAGGTGGGTGAATTCAATTAAAGCGGTAATAGGTCCACTGCTGGAAAATCAGAAGAACCAGGTTGGCAACAATCATCCTAAAGAAAACCAACCTATGTGGTTGCTAAGGCAAGTTTTGAGGAAGAAGTTCAACAGGATTTGTCTTGAATGTCATTGGCTACGACACTGTCAAAGTATGAATTATCACTGTGCAGTCACTAAGAATTGGCACTGACTTGATGGCATTTAAGCAGGCAAACAAGCAACAAAATTAAATTGTTCTAGAATTATATCTTTTCTGGAAATTTCTGAATTTTCTCTTATTGCTGCATCCACATAAAATGGCAACTGATAATTGCTTGCTCATTCTTGATAGTGCAATAAATTCAGCACCACAGACTTATCCTAAATGTGTGGGTATGCTTTCATTTCTTATTGCTTACTATCCAAGTTTATCTTCAATGACAGTGACCACCATCCCTTGCTGCTTCCACACTCCTTTGTATTTGTTTATCCGCTATACAGTAAGAATGACTAAACCAATGTTATATTGTAGTTCTATAGATAGTCTTTGAAACTATTACTTTTCTGTTTTGTCTTCTAATCTGGTTATAGAGCTCGACCACTGTCTATGTCTGTGCTCTCTGTATTTTATCGTAACCATGCAAGGCGGCTAAGTTTGAGCACTTCCTACTTTAATCACAACACAACTCCCGAGTAAACATACATGGAAGGATCTTATTGATAAATATTGTAAAGGAACAAGGGGATTTTTTCAGTTCTACTCAAACGAATGACTGACTACACGGCGGGAGCTTTTCATTCCACCGTTTACAGATACGCGTAGAACAATATAAATGACTGCATACTTTTTAATTTGGGCTGTCATCAGGGCTGCAAAAATAGGGACAACCACAAGGAGTGATGAAGAATTTTAAATCTGTGTTTTAATTTCGTTTCATTTCATTCGTCCGGATTTCTGCCGCCTCTATCCGACCTCACTTTACTTGTAAAGTGTATTTGTACAATATAGGTTTACAGCCGTTTCGATGCTTTTCGACGTTTAGAATGGATAAACGCACCTTCGGAACGATCGAACTGAAGGTTCGGAAAGAAGATAGAGTAATCTTTATTATTTTTCTTTAAAATTAAAATATAAATGGATTATTAAACTCAAACTAAGTCCGTACTAAACCCATGGCCGAGAAGAAGGGAATTCTTCCGAGCGGAGGCACTGAATCCGGCCGGAGGGGGGGACCCCTGGCAGGTAGTACAGGCTGGAAGGAACCAGAGAGGCTTCCCGCATACGCCACGAACTCGGAACGTTTGTCTGGCGTGCGCCGGTTCCCGAGGACGGGTGTTTCGGTTGCACGAGTCCCTGCCATGGCAGCAGCGGAGGGGAAGGACCCGCTCAGCTTCTTCGCGGCGTACGGTAGCGACAACAGCTCGAGTGGCGGCTCGGATGCTGAGGACGAGGAAGGCTCCGGCCGGGGGACCAAGGGGTCTTCGCAGCAGTCCCAGAACGGCACCCCCGAAGGGAAATCGCGCTTGCCTAGGCCCGACGAGCTCTTCCGCAGCGTGAATCGCCCGGCTTTCCTTTATAATCCGCTGCATAAGGAGATCGATTGGGAGAGTCGGGTCCTGCGAGCTCCCGAAGAGGTTAGCGAAGGTTCTTCTATTCCGTGTTTCTCCTGGCAGGGAAGGCGCCTGGCTCCATCATGGTTAAGGAAGCCCCTAGGATTAGGTAGGCTTGAGAGAAGGCTGCCCCTTCTTAGCCAATTGCAGCAGAAACACCAAAGCGTTTGACCTGGCTAAGCCCGGGTTAACTATGTAATATGGGATAGGTTTTCGTGCATCTCCGTTTCAGGCATCAATGAACACATAGTGGTTTTGTGCCTAAAGCGGGACTTGAACCCAAGATCTCCCGTTTGTAGCCTGGTGCCTTAACCACTACACCAAATTGGCTTTCTCTTGAAGGCCCAGCCCACACTGAAAAAATTTGACCCTGTGGCACACATTTTTGAATAGCTCAAAGCGCTAAATAAATTGGAATGACTTTTCCATTCAGTATTATTACTTTGTGTGGGATATGGGACATGAAACTTTCCAATCTTATAGGATGTGAAAGATTTAACAGAGTTGTAAGGGATCTTATAGGTCATCTAATCCAACACACACACACACACCGCTCAAGCAGGAGACCCTACACCATTTCTGACAAATGGCAGTCCAATCTTTTCTAGAAAGTCTCAAGTGATGAAGCTCCAACTTCCAAAGGCAACTTCTGTTCCATTGATTGTTCTTACTGTCAAAAAGTTCCTCCTCATTTCTAGGTTGAATCTTTCCTTGGTCAGTTTCCATCCATTATTCCTTGTCTGGCCTTCAGGTGTTTAGGAAAATAGCTTGACCCCCTCCTCTCTTTGGCAGCCCCTCAAGTTTTGGAAGACTGCTGTCATGTCTCCCCTGGTCCTTCTCTTCACTAGACTAGCCATGCCCAGTTCCTGCAACCGTTCTTCGTATGTTTTAGCCTCCAGTCCCCTAATCATCCTGGTTGCTCTCCTCTGCACTTTTTCTAGAGTCTCAACATCTTTTTTATAGTGTGGTGACCAAAACTGGATGCAGTACTCTAGATGTGGTCTTACTAGGGCTTTATAGAGTGGTATTAGTACCTCACTTGATCTTGATTGTATCCCTCTGTTAATGCAATTTAGGATGCCAGGTGAACATTCCCTGCTTGTCAGATTATTTTATTTCATTTATTTATATATAGCCACCCATCGCTCAATCAAAGGCACAAGCTCAGTCACAATAAACATCATTCCTGAGACATGGCTCTTGATCATACATACAGCCAGGTTCCTTCATCCCTTCCCTTGGTTGGAGACAGAAAAAGTCTCCAATATTTTCTTCAGAACCTTCTTGGGACCTGTGAGATATTGAACTCTCTACTTGGAGAGAATCCTCTCTATTTTTAGCTGCCAACACTAACATGTGGTATTCCCTAAAGTGGCCAATATCATCCACTAAGGATTGTTGTTATTATTGTCATTTGTAGTATTATTTGTTACAATAATATTTATTATATTATTTTCATATAATATGTGGGAGTGGGTGAACAATTTGAAACTTCATGAAAGATTAGGTGAACTGAAGAGTTTAGTGATCTCTGAATCCAGGATATTGTAATTTTAAAAATTATCATTTATATATTTCTACATTGCATGTTTGCATTTTAATATTTAAAATTTTTAAAGGGGTTTTTATTTTTTTAATCTACTTCTTAAAATAAAGTTTGGTTTTGCTTATCTGTTTTGAGATTGATTTACAATCCTGGGGAAAGGAAGACCTAAAACACTTTACTTACCAACCTCCATGCGACATAATGAGGATACGGCACGACAGGCATTATTTCCACTTTTTTGTATCTTGACGTTTTAATTGTTAGAGAATTAGTACATGACTGTGTTTTTTGTGCCATCTCCCTCTCAAACACTAGGGATAGAAGATGTCAGTCAAATAGAATACCCCCCAGGAAAAAAAAGATGGTCAACACAGGACATACCAAATCACAGCTGCAAAGAATGTGATAAGACCAGATTTCTAGAAAAGAAAGCTTGGCACCATCAGCCTTCCATTCTAGTGACCTTAGTTAGCTGCTACGTGATCAGAAATCAGTATTATTTTTTTACATTAATATTTCTTACCCTGTTGCCTCAAAAATAAGACCCAACCAGAAAATAAGTCCTGGCGTGATTTTTCAGGATGCTTGTAATATAAGCCCTACCCCCAAAATAAGCCCCAGTTAAGAATGTCAGCCAGATGGATGCATCTAGTGCCATATTTCCCCCAAAATAAAACCTAACCAGAAAATAAGCCCTAATGTGTCTTATTGAACAAAAATTAATATAAGACCCACTCTTATTTTTGGGGAAACACAGTATTATTTTCACTTTTTCTTACAATGAGTACTTTTCTTACAGTGAATATTTTGTTTAAGCTATTTATACACCTAAATAGAACTAGCATAAATGTTAAATGTTTATTACAGCTTGGCTACATTTTCAGAAAGTAAGAATAATTTGTATCTGTTAGAGTCATACCTTTTAAATATAATATTTCCTGTACTGGTCTTTTCATATTTCTTTCAACAGCCTCCTAAGGAATTCAAGGCATGGACCACAAATGCTGTGCCTCCCCCTGAGACTTACACTATCAAAGAAAAAAAACCTCCACCTCCTCCTGAACGTGATATGGCAATCAAATGGTCAAATATCTATGAAGATAATGGAGATGATGCTCCAAGGCATGTAAACAATGTACATTTCTTACCAGAAGAAGAACAAGAAACTGTTGAATCAGGTAACAGTATTCAATTTCATTCAAAATAAATAATGTTAGCTGTTTTTGTATATTTCTCTATTTGAAGATTGGCATCTCTTACATAAATTATATAGAATAGTTTGAATCCAGTTATAATGTTAGTAGTATTAAATTTAATCCTACACTTGATGGCAGCTTCCTACAAAATGTAGAAAGTCAAAAATTTTCTTTGCACATTCTTATGTGTATTTTGATTAGCATGATTAATGCATTCAATTTTATACATCAACCCCCTAGATGAATTCCTGTATTCCTAGGGACTTTTTTACTAACAACTAATAATATTTCTTGCTGTTTAATGTCTAAGAATAGCCTTATCTACCTGTGTCTAAAGATGATGAATGATTTGAAATTGAACATGCTTTTAATAAACAGGAACAGTATTTAAAGATTAAATGAAACAATAAGTTCTTAGAAAAGGGGAAGATTCAAAAGCTCATGCCACCTCGGTGCTGGAATAGCCTTTCCCAGTCTCAGCCCCTGGCTGTGGTTAAAGTCTAACAAAGTGTTTCTCAAACTTCGCAACCTTAAGGCATGTAGACTTTAACCCCATAGTTGAAGTCTACATGCCTTAAAGTTGTCAAGTTTGAGAAATATTGGTCTAACATACCTGGAAAGCATCAGGTTGTAAGCCAAGTTATAGAAGCCTTAGTTCAAATATCCACAAGAGCTATCTGTTTAGCCTCTTTCCATTGATGGAAAGCCCTTAGTCATTGAATTCATAGTTGGACTACTATTATGGCTAAGGAAATTTCCCTAATCTCCATTCCTGTAACTTCTTAATCATAAAAGCAGTTCAATGATGAAGAGGCTAAGAAGAATTGGACCTGATTAATATTTGGATGATTGATTATTACAAACTTCCCAGATCTGTAGTCTAGATTTGGTCATTGGGGGAGTGGAATCCAGGAAATGGCAACAACTTTGAACTTCCTTTGTATTGATGCCTATAAGACTGCATGGATGCCAGGCCAATGTAGTCATCAAAAGCTGATACTATTGATAATATTTTCCACATGTGGCTTTTGAAAACTTTGGCTTACGTACACTGTCTCTTCTTTGAAGATGGTGAAAAAGATGAACCCAGCTCAGTTAAGAAACGCAAATTAAACCCTGACGAGCAGCCAAAGAAGAAAAAGCAATGATGAATTGGACAAAGACTGATGAATTTATCAATCAAAGTTGTCAAAGTTCTGATTTGATTGATGTTTGATGTAAATGTCAAGTCTATTAATGCAAATGTTTCTAGTGGAAACCTTTTAATTGCAACACAACTCTTTAAACATGTTGTGGTAAATACAGTATTTTTGTTCATAAAGACTTTGGAAGTTTGTCATATACTCTTCCTGTTTAAGACAGATTCATGTGACACTATGAACCTTAACATACAAAATATAAATTTGTTGGCATTTAAAGATTAATATTTGGAGCAATAAGCAAATATTATGAAAAGTACTACACATGAACAGTGATGATATGTGAAATGTAAATGTAATAATTGTTTTATTAGACTACTATTGTGATAGATTTTTTCTTAATAAAAATGCTATTTTGGGGGGAGGGAGAGTTTTTAACTGCATTGTGGTGAAAATGAATTGTTTTGAAATGTTTGTAAATAGTTTTAAAATAAAGCTGCATGTGTCAAAGGTACATTTATTACAAATTTCACTGATTGAAATTGTAACTGAAACTGTTTCTCTGTAGTATTAAACAAATGTGTTTATTGTATATAAGTTAAATTAGTGATAACTTGGATACTTAAATTCAGAAATATTTTCCTTCATAGTTTCCAAGGGAGTTCAGTATAATCAGTTAAATCTAGAAACAGTCTAACAGCCATACAAATAAAAATATGGTTTTAGGGAGATAGAAAATATTCTCACGATATTAAGTGAACAGGATTTAAGTTAGATTTTCCCTAAACCCCACTTGCCTTTCCCCTTGAGACCTGTCTTGGCCTGCAATCATGGATCAAATTTTTGATGTTTACACAGAATTTCTGGCTGTGAACCTATTTATTTTATATACTGTTCCTTTGGTTTTATATTGCAAATTGACTTGCTGTTGTCCAATAATTATCCCAAGTTTGTTTAGCCAATTTTGATAAAAGTACTAAAATATATCTCTAAAGAAATAAAAGTGATTGCACCTTATTTATATCCTAGGAACTTCAGAGCTACTTCTCATGGTATGAATTAACTCATACAATGGTATACTCAAGGCTTTCTATTGATTTTTGTTTCAGTTTATATTTAGGTTATTTGCTCTGCAAAATATCTCCAAGCTCTGATTTTTAAGTTGTAGTTTTTCTTATTATATTTCCAAATTTATTTTTTAGTTATGTCAGTCTTAAAAGCTTTATTTTTCTGTTTAAACCATGTTAAGAACAGATGGAACAATTAACAATATTCATGGGCACTTCAAGTAATTAGAAAAAAATGTTTGATGTTTCTCCCCTTTTTATATGCCTGCATATAAAATAAACTTTGGTCCCACTTTGGTGGTATATGAAATAGAACTTCTTTCATACTATATGCCATTTTTGGAATACAATTCTTTATGAAATAGAAATACAATTATATATAGAAGGAGGATTAAGATGCTTCAATTGTTGATTGACAAAGAAAATTACATGGATATATAGCATTACCAGGGACTATTTCTTCCATACTTTTGATGTGTGTTTTTATATATATTGTACCTCTATATTTTGAAGTGAATTGTTTTTAAACAGATAGAAATTATCCAGCTGGATCTTCATGTGAAATGTTATCTTGTTTGTTCATTTATTTAATAAACTGCATCAATTTCAATTATTCTAGAATCTAGATGATATACAAGAACAGTGACAACATTCAGAGATAATGTTAATAGAAGTGCTTTCAGATAATTTAATAGACTTTTTAAAGGGATGTTTGGTATTTTCAAGGAATAATGTAATTGCAAAGCAATGGCCAAGATCTGGGAGTATGTCATGATGTCTAAAATAATACCATATTTCAAAAGTAACTGACTAACTCAAGTTGGAAATCTTTTTTGGATTATAACTCTATACATATGTATCACATCTGAAATTTGGATTCCTCTTAACATAAAGTTTTTATATGGGTCAGAGAGAAATTACTGTATTAAAAAACTCCTGAACAGCAAGTTGCAAGGAATTCACTGGATGAGTTTCCTTCAATTTGTGATGAAAGGGTATTTTATTTTATTATTTTATTTTATTTGGAATTAACAGCAAAGGGGCAATGAGAGTGTTGATTTTAGAAAGTTACAAATAGACTAACGGTTAATACCTCATTAAATATCTTAATAGCTTTAAAAAATGATCCAGATTTCTGACAGATAATTGGATATTTTCTCAGATACAATCTAAAAATAAGGAAGGTGAAGTAAATTCTATTTTAATAATAACCGGATACTTCTGTGTTGGACTGCAATACAAAAATAAGTTAGAAGGAGATTCTTCTGAAATTTATTTTAAAAACATAAAAAAGATTGACTGTTTCACTTAGCCATTAACTTTATTCAATTTTTCAGATGATTTAGGGAAAACATTTCAGTGTTTACTATATTTGAGACTATATATGCGGATGTAATTGCTGGGACCAAAAGAAACCTTTAAATGCACCCATTCTTTGTGGCATTGATTTAAACAAAAGTTTAAAGGGATGGAGTATCACGTTTGCCTTTTTAAAAACACTGCAAGAACTGTTCTAAATGCAACAGATCACTTTACTGAATAACAAATCCCTTTTTCCTACCGGAAGCAGATCCTCCTGCATGAATGCCCAATTCCTTCTCCCTCCGGAGCTGTTAAACAAGAGTAAATTGAATTGCTAATATGTTTGTAAAAGTAGCGCTCATTCACGTAGCATATGCCTTTGCTAAAAAGAAGCCAGATGAAAGCTTTCTAACTCTGGGAACCTGGCTTGTACAGAAATGCCAACTGTTTGCATTTGGCCCATTTGGAAGTGACAGATGCTCTCCCCGGGTTCTCAGAGAACAATAAATGTAGTAAATAACCTGGATTGTTGTGTTCTTTCGGGGATCAATGAGAATCTACCTGCCAACTTTGAAAATGAACTGTTCACTCCCTTCACTCGCAAAATACAAAAAATAATTTCTGGAAAACATTGTTAAGCTAGAAACTGGTTAATAGTCCATATCTTTTGTATGGAAAAGATTTCTTGCTCAATCCTCTGCATCTCTATGTAAAACAGAGAAAGTTTTGTATCTTAAAGTCTGGAGTTAGATGACCGGCTGAACCAGACGGGGCGATCGACTACATAACCTACCAGAAAATGCATGTTTTAAATTGCTCTTTCCTGTTCAGCAGCAACACACGTGCACTTGGCTTCTGAACCTACAGTGACTTTGAATACTGTGGCAGATTGGCTCTACAACAGATGAAATGCAGTATAATAAATGAATGACCAAATTAAAAATGATAAATGAACAAATATATTACATAATATGGCCCAAACTGTTAGGAGCACGTTAGGAGGAAATTTATTCCACTAGAGGGTGCTGGTTACTGCATTAATATTTTCCCATTCAATTCAAAAATCTTAATAATGCAAATACCTATACTACTTTTGATAAATATTCTTCCAAGAACTGTGTTATCTTGAATGCAAGTATGATCCAGAAAGTTGCTTAACAGTCTTGGCTAAGTTTTTTATTTGTTCTAGCCACTTGTTTAAAATGTCTTTTATATATTTCAAACAGCCATGTTTGCATTTCTTAACTGGGAAAAAATATATGTATAGATAATGATTTAACCAGTGGTGGGATTCAGCCAGTTCGCACCACTTCAGGAGAACCGGTTGTTAACTTTCTGAGCAGCTTAGTGAACTGGTTGTTGGAAGAAATCATTAGGATAGAGAACCGGTTGTTAAATTATTTGAATCCCACCACTGGATTTAACTCTTAGGTGTCATCCATTTGAGGAAGTAAAAAAAAGTGTTTGGGATTCAAGCCTCTTCCAGCCTTAGTTTGTTATTTGCATTGTGCTTTCAGCATGGAGTACAAGGTTCATTTACGTATAAAACATCTTTTTATCCTCCCAAACATACAAAATCTTCAAAGCAGTCTACAATATTGAAAGCATAAAATAAATGTAATGAATTAATGAAGCATATTTTTGTGTCAGTACATTAAAAACATACACACACATTTGTATAATATAGGTTTACATTAAAAACCAATCAAAATGTTCAAATCTTTAATGTCCAGTCTGGTCTGGAAGTTTATTTTGAAAATCTGAAAAAAAATCCGTTTCTTTCATATCACACCACTGAAGAGGAAATATCTATCCATTGAAAAAAAATCAAACGTATCCATATAGGTATGAACAGTCCATCAAATAATTTAGTTACAATTTAAAAGGCAAGTACCAAGCACAAACACAAAACCAATATTAATAAAAGTATTCATAAATTACAACCAAGAATAATCTATACTTCACCATTTTTCTTCCACAGAGCACCAAACCTTTGAGCTTGTAATTATTTGAAGAATATACACTATCTACTTTAGTCAAAATCCCTTTCAGCCAGCCTTGCTGTGGCAACCCTGAAGACACTCAAAGATGGCTCCACAGTTGACAGAGGCTTTGAATTACATTTCCTTTGCTGCATCAAAACATTTATTTCAAACTTTATTTGCTGAGAATCTGCTCCTTCTCTGGTTTTGTAGGCCATGCACTTAAAACAACCTTTTATTTTTCCTCAAAGGAAAATCTTGAGAAAAACATTCTTCAGGATGAGACAAATTCCCTCACATGTGGAAGAAGAGTGTTTCTGTGATGATGGAACTGCCAAGGCTAAATGTAATATAAGCAGCAAACACACATACATATTCTGGGAAAATATGCTGATATCCAAGAAGAAAGCCATTGTATCAGGAAAGAGAGTAAAACATTGTTTCAGACATTAAATGCTAAAAGACATGAGTAATTGTTCCTGAACGTTCTATGACAAAGCTGCATGGACCACATAAACTGTTATGAGTTCCTGAAAATAGTGTAGTGGTGAATAATATCACCAATGTGTAAGGAAGATTCAGCTGCCAATCCACCTGGAATTTACCATGTTGCCCATCGCCTCGGGGAGCAAAATGTCTTCTGCTAACATTTGCTAATAAGCTGAAGTTTGGATAAAGACCTCTTTGCTTCCCTCATTAATCAGATTTAAATGTAAACCAATACGGTACCCTTAAAGCAGCTCTAGCAGTTACTTGGATCAGTTTGTTTCGTTTGTGGGCTATATGTTCAGCTGTGAACATATAGCCCACAGGTAAATTAGGGTTAACCCTAACCCTAAGAAGTTTGTCCTTTATTCCGTTTTGCTTCTCTCCTTTGATTAGTTTCCATCCATTGTTTCTTGTCTTGCCTTATGGTGCTTTGGAAAATAAGTTGACTCCCTCTTCTTTGTGAATGTGTGAAGAAAATATCTCTTCCTTCCTTTTACTGGTTTATCAATTGGATTTATGCTTATGGTCCTTGCAAAGAATTCACCATTTGTCTGTTTGAGCAGCCATTGAAACAAGGTAAACATAGCAAGCAGCTCAACTCTTTTCTCTAGTTGATCTGTAGGAAAGGAATGTGGGAAAAGAACCAAAAAATGGAGAGAATTGGAACATGATGGGAGGAGACAACTCCTACTCTTTTCATTTGGCTAATATTCCAAACTGAAGCAGCCAGATGGGGGATTCAGAACACTGAAGCACAATAAGCATAATGTGCTACAAACATCTGCTTTTAGTATATGTGAGATCCCTCTCATTCTGTATTCTAAGCATTGCCAAGTATGGACAACTCTGTTGGCCTAGAGTTCCTACCATCCTTGAATATTGGCAATGCTTGCAAGTGATGACACTTTTGGAACCTTGTCTCTTAAATATGGGAAAAAACAAAGAATATGTAGTAAAATAATGATATACTGCCTATAGTGGTTTGACCATATTCTACAAGTAGCACCCCATACCGCCATCTGTACCACCTATCACTTTAACATCAATGGTAAATGCCCACACAGAAGAGCAAAGCAAAGGTGGCAGGACACAATTAACGTGGACATAACTATGGCATTTGTTGATTTGAAAAGCAGATCCTACGCCTGTGGGTAAAGAAGGAGGGAGGGAGGAGGAGGAGGACATCCCAGTGGTATCCTCTCTTGATGGTCCCAAATGTGCTTTTCAGGAGGCAACTGGACTTTCTTATTTTTTCTTTGAAGACATTTCGCTTCTCATCCAAGAAGCTTCTTCAGTTCTGACAGGATAGTGGGGAATCTCTTGATGGAATAATTGGGAGAAATGTTCAGCAGAAATTATAGCTGGGAGTATGGAAGAGACTTGTAGGTGTACAGTATTACTGCAAAACTGCAATAATTAATTGTTCAGCAGATTCATAACAAGTCTATAATGACAGGTCATGTTGCTTAAACACCTAAAGCAATTTTCAAAATTAATAAATAGTTGGGATGGGCTCAAATTACATTAGTTGTAGTTGATTCATATTGGAAGTCAGTGGAATTTAGACACCACCAGAAGCTTTTTTCTCACTACAGATAACAAGGCCTCTGATTGAGATTGGAGCATGTGGGTATTAAGGCATCCATACTACTGTCTGTCTCAGCTTTTTCATATTAGCTTCTTTAAAAGTATGATTACAAATGTGAATAATGGATCTAATTTAGTCCTTATGATTAATTAGCACATTTCAGTTGATTTTAGCTGATTAAGAGCTTATAAAGTGTCATAAACAAACTATTAGTGGAATTTATTTCTAGCTTTTCTGCAGTTAATTAAAGGAA